CCTGACTGACTCCAGCTACCAAAGCTGAGGTGGCTGAACAGACTCGTGGGCTGGGGAATTGTTTATGGGGGGTTGCTGCTGTTAGGGGGGATTATGTTGCTGTTATTGGTGCCCTAATTGTTTTAAATGTTTTAATTGTTTCTAGCTGCTTTTTGACTTTTGTGTTTTTTAATTTGGGGATGTTGTTTTAAATCAAGGGACATAAGACGTCCCTGGGAAGAGAGGAGCTGGGGAGAGCAGGGGCGACTGGAAACTGGTATATTTAGCAGTACATCCAGCCTCTGGATATGGAGGGTTCAATGGAGCCACAACTAGCTTTCTCTTTGTCCATGAATTTGCCTAATCTCCTTTAGTCATTGCTAGATGCTGCAGCTATTGAGTGATGGCTTGTTCTGTGTGAACCAAGGTGCAGTTTGAGTCAAAAGAGGATTCCAGAGCCTTGTTCCTGGGTTAATAACAGAGTGTGTCACTCCTAACTTTGATTACCACGTACAGTTCACGCTAAACAAGCCACTTCATTCACAGCATAAACACAGCCTAACGTGGCTACAAGCAGCCAGGGCAGGAAAAGGATTAACCTATCAACAAGTGGTTATTTCAGGGCTATGTTATCCTCTTAGCCGTACATTGCTTCTGCCACACTCTGTTTGCTCGGCTCTCCAGCACAGCCAAGGTCATACCAATCGAGTAGAAGATTAACTCGCATTCCCAGCAATGGCCTGGGTCTCGCTAGACGGGTGGATTGTTTTCCCTCAGGGCCTCAACCTGCGGACTTGTTAGGCTTTAAGCAGGGAAACCCCGAAGCTCCCGCCCTACCGATATAGGTTTCCCTGTTTCAGATATGACACCATCAGACAGAAGTATTCTGCTTGCTTCTAGATAGCCTTAGGAAAAGAGCGAGACTAGACTGCAGCAGAACTGGGCCAAGCTTTGAGAACTGAGGCAGCGTGGCATGTCTTACACCTGATACCAGGGGCAGCATATTTTGGTGCCCAAGACAGACCAACCCACTTCTTAAATCAACTACTGTACAACACAGAGCACTGGGAAATTCTCCTGCACAAGCCCCACTGAAATGAATATGCAAGAGTACAGCCAAGCTCTTTTTCCATCTCTTGTTCATGTCAGTGGGGTTTGTGCTAGAGAACTTCCTGATGGGCCGGGCCCAATCTCTCTCTGCACCCCTTCATAGCACCAAAAATTCAGCAGCAGAGGGAAATCACATCACATGGCCTCTGGCCAGGAAGTGCCACATTGTGCTATGCGCTGCTGCTTCATGGGGCCTTTATGGCTGTAATTAGTGCTGCAGCCAAGTAGATAAGAAAATGATTTTTAAAAACCCAAACACAGAAAGGCAAACAGACGATTCAGTTCAAATAAATGGAAATAACAGAACAGCAGAAGATTTTGACACCTCTGCCAAACAGTAAGCTGGTTATATAAAGTTCAGTTAGGCCAAAAGAATTAACATGGGAGGGTTTTAACAAAGTGTCTCAAATGAAACCTCCAGATATAAATAATGTCAGCTTGACAAACAATAAGAACCACATGACTACCCTTCTGTGCAGAATGATGGGTTTTTTAACCACATGGTGTGTGTGTGTTTTTAACTGCTAATATAAACATATATTTGCCAGATCTCTCAGCCAATTATTGACAGTCAAGCAGAACATCCCAATTAGATATGCAGTTATCTGTATTCAGGGGCTCCTCTGCAGCAGCAACTTGACTACAGAATTCCCTCGCACTAGAGGTGTGATCAGCACTGATCAGGCCTTCAGGTACCAAGTTAAAATGTCCTCCTTCAAGCAGACTTGCTCTTGGTGGAAGTGATCAGTCTCCAAGGTTTTGGAATCCAGGCAGATTATGCCTCCTGCAGTATTTTGTCTCATTCTTTTAAACTGCTCTTTTACTCTTCCATTCATAGTTTAAATGTTACTCATTTTGTAAACTGACCTGGAATTTGTTTGAATGAAGGATGGTTTAGAAATGCAACAAATAAACAACAAAACATCTAAAGGAACTCCTTTTACTTCCAATATCCACCCACCCACAAGGCTTGAGTAGGAGAACTGCTCAGTTCTGATAAGTCACCATCTCCACCACGCAACCAGAAAATCAAGTGAAATCATTGTGCAAAAAGCAGGGGCAGTCAACAATACCAGCTGTCCCCAACCTGGTGCTCTCCAGTTATTTCCAAATTCCCACCACTTCAGCCAGTGCAACTGTATAATCCTGGGGCTGATGAAAGTTACGGTTCACAACAGCTAAAGGGCACCAGGCTGGGGACGTGTGAGCTATGTACTGCACAAATAATACACCAGAGAGGTAGAATGCTGGGAAGGGATGCAGTGAAGGGCCAGCCCTCTGCCCCCTCACCAATATATGCATGGCAGAGCAGGGGGGTGGCTGTGGAAGCCACAGGAAAAGGGTCAAATTGGCAGCAGAACTGGCTCCTTCCCACCAGCTCTTGCTACTGAAGATTGCTGGTGAAATTCACCCAAAACATCGGTGGCCTATACCTAAGCCACAGGCAGGAAGCAAACGAGTGCTGCCTGTGTTAACATATCTTATTGTTATTACTGCAATATGATATCCACAATGGAAAATGTGGTCTGGTCAGATTAAAAACTGAATGAATCTAGCACACTCAAGATTAAAGGGACTGACCGGGGAGGGGAAGGATGACGGCATCAGAGCCTTTGAGTTTCCACAAAGTGTTTAAAGGGATAATCTGTGCCTTGCAGGCTTTGTCTAATGACTTGCCAAGACCATTAAATAGATTTTTACATGTGCATGGACTCAGCTTCACAAGGATGCTCTGTGGAGGCCAAAGAAGGTCTGCTACAGGATGCAGGTTGGCTTTTACATTCCGAACAGGCAGCAAGTAAGCAGAGCAAAGTATCTGAAATGGGAGGTAATTTATTTATTCCATTTTTGTCCAGTTGGCCAGGAAGCAACAAGCGAGTGGCTTATATGTGCCACTCAGTGTGGCAAAATAGGGGGGGCAGACAAATGTGGCCCCCATTTGGGGTACAATCCACCAGGATGTATGAAACTGCTTCATTCCCAGGGCTGGGAATACATTTTGACACCTTAGGTTCCCCCTTTACAAACAGAGAAGTCCCTGGGATGGGCACTTGAATCTTATATCAAAGCGGGCAAGCACAGTAGCCCCCACTGCACCAGCAGAGGGCAGCAGGCAAGCGTGGGGGTGTGTGCACAGTTCTGTCCTCTCTGCACTCCTCAGCAACAGCTACAGGAACCAAAAAAAATCCTGGGCCAACACAAATCTTCCACCAAAGGAGAAGGGAAGAACATGGGAACAGCCTTCCAGCACGCCACTTAATTTCTCCAGCTAGCTGAGTCCAGTCTCCCAAGTGGCAGCGCTTTCCAGGTTCCCTGGGATTGAACCTTATGCATGCAACTCGGGGGCTCTGCCTCTGGGCTCTGATCCTCTCTCCCCCCAGGAGGGTTTATGGGACCCTAAAAAGGACCTAAGTCAGGACAGGAGAGCATCCATAATTGCCAGGAGATCTTTCTTGCTCCATTTCAAAGGCCTCTTCACTCCTCCCCCCCGATTCCTGCATCCTCCGCCCTGAAGTCCTTGAACCCCCAATTTCTACTCCCTGCTCCCCCAGTTCCTAATTAAGGGAAGTGGAAGTGCAGGGAAGAGCCTATGGGCTTCTGAGCCACTAAAATGCAGGGAGCTGGTCTGAGACCACGGGCAGCAGCCTCTGTTTCCTGGGCTGCAACTTGCTCTATAAACACCTCCTCTTGCTCAACCGGTACGAACCTTGAGTCCCTCTCTAGGGCTATGTTCTGGTGCCCACCCCCACTGCCGCCTCCACCTGTGGTCATAACCACTGGCAGAGATAAGACTTCCTCGCAAATGGAAGGCTCCCATTCAGCTCACAGGTTGGAAGACCTGCCTGCTCCAATTCTGTCCCTTTGCTTTCAGGGAACCTGTAATGGTTCAAGGGGTTTGCTCGTTGGCGTAAGCCACGGTGCCCACACCTGCTGGTTTGCCTAGTGACCTTTTCTTGTCTGGAACAGCCACTCCCGGGCGTCTACATCGCTGGCAAGAATCCGTCAGTGGGGTTGCTATAAACTTCTTCCAACAAAGAAGTTGTTCACGCCCATCTCCTCCTACTCTCCTGCGCAGAAGCTTCTGCGCAGGAGGGCGTAGGCAGCGGAGGACCTTCCTCCCCCTGCTGGTCCGGCAAGGGTCATGTGAACTCCCTCTCTGATTCCCCATCTGCCCCCCCTTCCTCCATGGAGCTGAGCTGATTCCCTTCCCCAGAAGATGGCTGCCTCTCCTCAATCCGGAACGCTCTCTGGGATCCTCTGGGACCTCTCTTCCTCCGGCACTGATGGGCAGTTTCCCTGACGAACAATTTAACGAAGTCCCGTCCCAAGACACAATCCTGAAGCCCAGTGTTATTACATGCTGTCTGAAGAGGATTTCTGTACTTTGGAACTGGGCCCGCTCAAATGTCATGGCTGGGTCGGAGGTGAGCCAGGAATTAGGGGCCAGGGGGCAAGCCAGATATCAGAACCAAAAGAACACAAGAAAAGTCCAGAAAGCCTTTGTTGCCCCCTCATAGTCCTTCCTATCCAGCTGGGTTCAATGCCCACCCTGGAAGGAAGGGTGTCAGCCCAGGAACCGAGAACGGCAAAGACAGATGCTGTAATACATGACTCAGGGACATGGCCCCAGCCGCTCCCCAGATGACTCCAAGGGTGTCAGCAGGACAGGAGTGACCAGGCCCAGGGAGCAGGTAGAGGCTCATTTCAAAGAGGGGCAGGGGAGTAACCAGGTGATAGGGAACCCCAGGATGAAAGCTACCCCAGCACAGCAACTTGGCTCCTGGGCTGGGTGAGTCCCCTGCTAGCTGCTGGCTAGTCCCTGCTCCAACAAACCGGTTGTTCACCTCCAGGGTCTCCCAATGAACAACAGCCTTGGCTGAATGTTAAGTCTGGCTCTGCACCACACTAACCTCTGTAACTTCTTCCAAGCTCTCTCTCAGGGCCTGGAGTTCCTGGCTGTGTTGCTCTTTGAGCCGGTCTATCTCCTGGTCGTGGCTGGACACTTCTTCCTTCAGGGCCCCCTTCAGGGCTGTCAGTTCACGCTCTCGCTTCCTCAGGATGTCTTCCTGCTGTTCTTTGACCCTCAGGATGGCCTGGAGATCCTGCTTCAGCTGCATTAGCTCCTGCACCAATAAAAAAAAGGAGAGACTTGTAGCCAGCACTGCTTAAAAAGAGAGGTCAAAACCACTGAGAGCAGAAGGGTCATTTCCAAGGCCCTCAGAAACTCGGCACCAAGTCCTAGCTTGAAGAGTTACCTGAAACTGTTGGTGCTCAGGCCGCAGAGTCCTCTTCAGCCACAGAAGAGGATATAAGTGAAGAGCATCAGCAGGGCTGGCCCACCCATGAGGCAAGGTGAGGTGAATGCCTCAGGCGGCAGAATCCACAGGTCCAGCCTTCAAGAAATGCACCATCTGCCACTGCCACCACAGTGGCAATGATGGTGCACTTATTAGAGGCCAAATCTGCCTCCTCCTCAGCAGTAACCCCCCCCCCACCTCTACAGCATCCTCTCATCAAATAGGAGGTGCTGCTGGTCTCCTCCCATCCCTAGAGACAAAATGGCAGGGGCTGTCCTCTGTGGACTCTGCAACTACTCAGCCTGATTCAGAGCGGGCCTCTGTCGTACCCACGGTGACCTTTGAGTCCCACTTCAACCGTTGGGCTAGGTCAATTTGACTCCCCCCCTGTTCTCGATGTAGATTTTCAAGTGGCGAAATGGGACAAGCCACCACCCCAAGCCTCAGCCTCTATCACTGGCAGGCAGCAAGAACTCTCTGGATGGGCCAGGCTTGGTACAGAGCCCAGGAGCCCAGATTTCCTCCCTTTGCCCAAACAGAGGCATTTTTGGCTTTGGCTCAAATCCATCTCCTCCAGCTCAGGGCACAATAAGATGAAACACAGTCTTCTGAAGATTTTGTAACCTTAACACAGGCTTAAAAGGCCTTGAATATGACTGTAGCAGCAGGCAGAAGCTGCAGGAAGGAGAGTGCTTAACCATTCTCGCAACCCAAATCACCCCAGCTGTTTCTCGCTTTGAAGAAGAAGAAGAAGAAGAAGAAGAAGAGGAGGAGGAGGAGGAGGAGGAGGAGGAGTTTGGATTTGATATCCATCTTTATCACTACTCGAAGGAGTCTCAAAGCGGCTAACATTCTCCTTTCCCTTCCTCCCCCACAACAAACACTCTGTGAGGTGAGTGGGGCTGAGAGACTTCAGAGACGTGTGACTGGCCCAAGGTCACCCAGCAGCTGCATGTGGAGGAGCGGAGACACGAACCCGGTTCACCAGATTACGAGTCTACCGCTCTTAACCACTACACCACACTGGCTCCACACAGAGGAAAAAGATACTGGGGACAAGAATTCCCGTCTCCACCTGTTCTATGGGATGAAAAGCAGTGTCTCACTGCTTGGTCAGTGATCAGGAAAAAGTTGATATCTTCCAACATCCCTTCTTGTTTGGCCCTTAAACTGAAGCCTTTGCTCTGGTGCCACCAATTCACCTCAGGGACCTTGGATAGGAGAACACTTCCCTGAGGCCTGGACTACCACAGTGGCTATTTCCAAGACAGGAGAAGGCCCGCTGGTTCCTGCCCCTTCTTCCAAAAAGAACCACGGCCCCTCCTCCAGGTCGTATTCTGCCTCCCTCACAACTCACCCCAAGGAGCATCTCCCTCTCGCCATCCTCAGCGTGCTTCGCGTTGTCCAGCTCGTCGTGCATCTCAGAGAGTTGGTCCTGCAAGTCCCGGATCTCCGTCTGCTGTTGCTCCTGCTCCATTTTCACTTGGAAAAGCCTCCATAAGGGAAACGGAATCATGTTTTCTACCTATATTTGGTCATGTATTGCTTCGTGTATATATTCTTGATTTCTGAGGAAGGCCAAAGGGGTCCCCTCCTTTCAGGTAATGGCAAACGGAAAATTGGGGCCTTCATGGTGCTGGCGACCTCCCAACCTCTTGCCTTGGGAACTCCCTACCCAAGAAGACGCTCTCAGCCAACTCTCTCCAGAGTCACAGGAGAAGGTTCAAGGCTGGTTTATTTGGGAGAGCTTCTGGTGAGAACAGAGGGAAACCAAGGCCGCTGGTGTATTGGGGGGGGGGCAGCTCCTACATAAACATAGCAATGGAGGAATGCCTCAGCCACAGTTTTGGCAGTAAGAGAAAAACATCTGGTGAAACAAACTGTGTTTCTGGGATGTTTTCCTCTGGCCACTCCCTTTTTTCATCATTTCTGGAAAAGAATTGCAGTCAGTGCTCAGCTTCTCCCTTTGCCCTTATCCCTGACCATTGGCCATGCTAGTTGGGGTCCCTGGCAACATCTCCCCCCTCCCAGGTTCCCCACTCCTGGCGCAGAGCAGAGGCAGGCAGGGAGAGGAGCAAGAGAGCCGCAAAGAAGCAAAGTCTGGAGGGTGGCTTTTGAGGGAAATGGACTGAAACCGTGAAGGGGCATGAACATTGTGCCCCTAAGCCAAGATCCCTATCAGGCTCTTGATGGAAGGCTGCAAAGGAGGGAGGGAGGTTAAGATGGGATCTGTGGGCTGAGGGGGTGATTCCCAAGAGGGCGGACAATCACGCCCCGCTATTCACCCCAGCATGCAGGCAGGCAGGCAAGACCTCCTGCACAAAACTCACTCTTCAATGTGCTGCCTGAGGTCTTTCTCGCTCTCCTCCAGCTGCTTCCGGAAGGTGTCTTTATCTTCTATGGTCTTTTCCAGCTGCTGCTGGAGCACTCGCAACTCTGCCTTCGCTGCATCTCTTTCATCTGTAATGTTCTGTTGGTTCTGCAAACAGGGGAGATCAGAAACACAAGATGCTGAAAAGAGGCTGGGGCAGGCCCTTTTCAGAAAGAATGCTGCATTTTTAAGTAAAGGGGCAGGCAATACATTGAGTTACTATAATAAGAGGTGCCCCCCCCTTTTTAAATAGTAACGTTTGCAGAAATTCACTGTACCCAGCAGCTGGGCTCAGCAGCAGCAGCAGCTCTAGTTTCAGGGCTCGGGGCCACATCCACAGCCAGCCCCCACCAGCTTAGGCAGCTTCTGTATTCTGAGAGGCCTTTGGTCCAACTAGGCCAGCATTGGCTCTCAGGCAGATAGGGTGCTACCTGGCCCAGGGTGGAGAAATATTACCAGATATTTTTTTCCAATGAATCTGGCTGAGTAGCAACAGGGAGTCAGTAGTGGGGATGGTGAGGCAACAGACCCTGGGCCCAAGCACACATGCATATTGTATAAAGGTGCAAAGCCCTTCTTTCGCACCCTGTGAAACATAAATGCACAGTTTTTTTAAAAAACTGGGCAACGGCGCGCCGCCCACCCATGACTCCTGAGCCTTCCCCAATCTCCTGCCCCCTTCCCCATTTGTTTTGACAGATCAGGGGAGGCTCAGGAGTCAAGGGCGGGCAGCCGTTGCCCAGGAGGGGCCAGCCTGGTAGTGCAGTTGGCTCTGGCTGGCTTCAGGAGCTGCTCGCTGCCCGCTGCCATGGCGCAGGAAATATGGCGGGCGCCATGGCAGCGGGTAGCTCCTGAAGCCAGCCAGAGCCAACTGTGCTAACAGGCTGGCTCAGGGCTGCTGAGGCTGCGGCTGCCACGTTTCCCAGGGACAGATTTGCAAATCGGGGGACATTCTGGGGACAGAATTTGTGGACAGAGTTGCAGAACCGGGGTCTGTCCCCGGGAACCGGGGATGTCTGGTAACCCTAGCCTAGGCCCAACATTGAGCTATGGGCTCCCCAAAGAAGGGCACTCTGATGCAAAGGCGAAGCTGCCCTGACAGTCCCTGGACTTTCTGCCCATGCAAACAATTTTGCTTCTCCCTGAGAAAGCAGAGCAATGTGCAGAACAGAGCAACAACAGGGTGGATGGGGACCTACCTTGACTTCCAAATCCAGCCTCCTCTGCAGATCAGAAACCTCCTTTTCCAGCTCCGTTGTCTGTTCCATCAACGCCTTGACTGAAGCAGACGTATCAGAGGCCTACAGTCAAAGAACACATACATGCTTGCTCAGAAAAATCTATAGATTGTTTTGTTCTAATGCCTCAGTTTAGAGCAGGTCTGATTATCCCACACTGTCCCTGAAGGAGCATCACTGTACTACATCTAAATAATGTATTGTAGGAGGGGAGGAGAACACACGTCACCAGGGAGTCCTGTCCTTTGTGTGCACCACAGAGAAGGACCACTCACATTGGTGCTACCCACCATTCCTAGGTAAGCCCACTGGGTCCAACTCAGAGCCAGTGTGGTGTAATGGTTAGAGCACTGGGCTACGACCTGGGAGATCCGGGTTCAAATCCTGACTCAACCATGAAGCTGAGTGACCTTGAGCCAGTCACCATTTCTCAGCCTAACCTACTTCACAGGGTTGTTGTGAGGACGAAACAGGGAGGGCAAGAACCATGTACATCATCTTGAACTCCTTGGAGGAAAAGGTGGTATATAAATTGAACAAGTGAATAAGCAAACAAGGAGCCACTTTGCCAAGGGACCCCCTCAGGCTGAAGCCAACCCTCTTAAACTAGGCCTGAAACGAAATTGTCCATTCGGTTTTGCTTTTGTTTTCACCAGCATATTTCACTCATTTTCCATCCAGGTTCTGAATCCGGTGCAAGAGCTAAACTCAGGGGGTCTCACTGAGCAACATCTCAAGGACCCCACGTAGGCCCAGCCCTAGTCCTAATGGTCAAAGGGAGGGGCTTCCCGTGAAGTGTAGGTGGGTTCAGTCATGAATGAGGCTGAAGTTCAGCTCAAAAGGATCAGGAACATAAGAAGGGCAAAGCAACTATATTTCTGGAGGCCTGGGCCACACCCACTCTCAGCGTGATTGGCTGTCTAAGCCCCGCAAGCAGCGAATCGTAACTCAGAGCTTTAGAGCCAATGGCAGTAGCCCAAATTAGCAGAAGGATTTCCTGTATTGATATCATACTTAACATAA